AACCCTCATAGCAATGACTAACAATCTCTAAATTATTAAAACTAACTAAATTACTATTCTTATTTCTAAACTTTATTATTTTGGTCTTAACTAACCTAACTCAAGGAATCAAGCTAGGATTTATACCATCAAAGGTTACAATCCTAAAAATTTAATAAAACCAGATTCTACTTATATAAATCCTAATGTAAAAAATATTATTTTAAATTTTATAAGTTTATAAAGAATAATTTTAATTAGAATAGAATTGAATTTTATAGAATACCAAGTAGAGTTTTAGATGCATTGATTTTTTTTTATAGAATTTGGCTCTCATAATTTATTTTCATTTTTAAAAATATATATATATTTAGTATTTAATACAAAAAAAATACAAAGAATATGAAGTCCTATAAAAAATTATAGGTGGTGAAAATTATATGATCTTCTAAAGTCTTATTAGCTAGCTTTGTTTTTTCTATAACAGAATAAATTGTGAATTTTAAGTTTGCACTAAAGTAGTGTTTTCTTATCTTATTAATAATTATTTAGAATTATTAAAATTTTATTTATTTATTTATTTTTATAATCATTTTAAGACTTTGATTATAAATATGGAATATTTATGTTGGTGTTAGGTATTTATTTGAGACATCTAAATCAAAAAAGAGAATTGGGAGAAATTTCATCTTTTTCTAAAATAAATTCTTAAAATTTATTTATTTCTCAAGTACCAATTTAAATTTATGTTATTTACTTTCAATACCAAAAAAATTTATTTTTATGTTAATTGAATAAATTAAAATAGATTTGATATTATATTAGAAGAAATTCATAGTCTAATAAAGTATCTAATTTAATAGTAGTTCTTTTGTTGCAAAATAAATTTAAATACTCATTTCTTATTAATGCCATATGCCACATAGTATTTTAAAAAGAATGTTAAGTTACTGGAATGTTTGTCCATGTAATTGTCTATTTTTTTTTATGATATTCTATTCTTTGTTTTATAAAATTAAGGATAATTTCTTAGATAGTATTCAATCAATAATTTTAAGCCCACAAGATCTAATCTAACATTTTCAGATTGTAATATACATTTTTATTTTTTAAAAGATTTTAGTGGGAATAGTCTTTAAAGTCATTATAAAATAACTAGGAAGTTGATATGGTGTAATACTTATCGTTCTTTTAGAAGGTATTTTATATTGTTGTAGCTAGCAATTTTTGAATATTATAAAATCTTTCAACTAAAGTATACTAGAAATTTTTTTACTTACTTGTTCCTAGAGTGGAGTACTGCTTTTATACTATATCTAACTATTTTTATAAAATTTTAAATAAATCATTAAAATGATTGTTATAAACCATTTCAACTTTTAAATATGAAAATGTTAATTTTTTTTAAAAATTATTAAGAAGGTTTTGAATGTCAAATATCTTTTTGACATAGATATAAATTAAACTTATATAATATTTAAATAAAAATAGATTATTCATATCTAAAAACCATAAAATGCATAAGTAAAGTTGTAAACAGATGTTAAATACATTTTCATTATATTATGAAGATATTATGTTAATCAAAAGTAAAGATCTTAGAAGTGAACTAATTTTTTTTATTATTTATTTTAATTTTTGAATTTATATTGAAAAGTAAAAAACAATCAATTATTTTCTTGATTATAAAACTTTAAATATTTTTTGCTTACATAACTAGAATATTAAAGAAAAAAATCAAAATTTTATTATGATAGAGTTATATAAGAAATAATAAATTTCTTATGCAATATTATTGCAAAGAGCATGTATTTGTTACTCAGTAGCATAATTTATATCACAAAGATGTATTTACATTTTATTTAATTAGTCTAAAAATATAAATTTGTAAAATAATATGTTTATTTATACAATTTTTTTATTAAATTCTACTGTAAAAAAAAATTATCATAAATACCTTCATAAACTTTTGTACATTGGTTAGAATTATAAAGTTGTTTAAAATTGAATATATTCTAATATGTTACAAGCCATTAATATTACACCGCTAGTATCACATATTATATAATTATTTCAGTTAAAATAACCTCTAAAATTTCCGCAAATAAATTCTTTTTTGTAGTTGAGATTCCTTCTCCAAAAGTGACACTTTAAAAAACCATAACTTTTTCTATTCTAAAGAATGTACTACGATGTGTGTAGAAGGATATCTTGGTTTCGGTACGTTCTTAAAAAAATAAAGGAGATCATTTTTGTTAAGATAATTTGATCTTCAGATAAGTATAAATTATTTCTAATTGGTTTGATTGAATATAAAACAAGTCAATATTTTGTAGATGATCTTAAAATGTTTTTTAAAAAATAGTGTTGCTTAAAAATGTTCTTCAAAAAATAAAAATAAATAAATAAAAGATCCGGTTTTCTCATGTTAAAATAAAATTTAAGTTTAGAAAATTTTAGTTTTTCATGAGGTACATAAATGCTACATGATTCACATAAAGATATATCAGTTCTTAAATAGATAAAAGTAGATTTTTTATATTATATATTTAGTTACAATTTAAATAAAATTATATAACTTATTGTTATGGATCTAAAAGCTATACTTTGATTGGTAAGTATAAGATTGTTAAAATATGTTTATGTTGTTTAGAAAGTTGTCTCATATAGAGTAAAATTGAATTATGTTTTTATAAGTTCAATAATAAGTTCCATTATTTTTTCATAAACGTGGACATAATATCTATTAAATTGTGTAGTTTTAATAAATATCTGAATGTTCTTTACATGCCTAGAATGTACTATGTCTGTTAGAGTTTTGATTATTTGAAGATATAATTTTTTTTATTGAATTTATCATGTTTTTATTTTTGTCTTTTATTTTTTTATTATAGAATAAAAAATTATTCAATTTAATATGAATATTATATTGGCAAATTGTAAAGGACTGCTTGATAATCTTTTATATGATCATACAGTAACATTTGTGTGTTTTCTAAAAAGGCATTAGTCATTTTAATTTTTTCAGAAATTAAGATTAAATATTAAAAAAATTATAAATTGATTTCAGAGTTTTTAAGTTAGAGAATAAATTAATTACTTCTTTTAATTTTTTCTTTCTTTTTACTTTCACTCCTCAGATTGTTTTGCAAAAAGGTTGTTCATTGACAAGATTTATATCTATAAAATACAATTTTAGGCATAATATATAAAATCAAATATTTCAATTTATATTGTATAAAAAAATAAAATAGTATGCTACTAATGCAATTGAGTTTTTAAATAATTTAGTTTAAAAAGGTTGACATGTTTATTTAAATAAATAAATAAATAAAAAGAAAGAAAGAAAGAAAGAAAAAGAGCCATGATTTACTGATGATATTTATTAGAATGATACTATTACATACAATAGGAGACTTGCAGTATTTACTAATAATATAAATAAAAGACTTTTGGTATACATTTTGGTACTTAGATTATGGACACTACAAAATATAAAGTTGTTACATGTAGATCTTTTTTTGATATAAATAATGGTAATAAAGTTGGCAACATTGCTTTATTCACTTTAGAAGGGATATAACTTGTAGATATTTGTAACAATAAATAAATAAGTATAAGTGTATATATATATATATATAGATAGAGGATGAAGTACATGGTATATTGAGATTGTGGAACATATTAAGTAGTAGTGAAAATCATAAAAATAAGAACAATTTATGTTTTGGTTTTTTGTTGTGTGATAGAACCTTTACAAATTTAATTGGTTATATTTTCATTTACAGTTTCTTTGAAATAATTGTAAGAACTTTCTTGACGTTGAATAAGAATTAAGTACCATAAAAGATCAAAAACACTTTTACTTTATGACAAGGAACAACGAAAAAAAAAAAGATATTATACAAATCAAAGCATAACGGCTAATTATTACGGCTATTTTTTCTTTTTAGTATTGTGTGGAAGAATATTTCAGGATAAAAATAGCCATGAGACATTTTGTGTGGGACAATGAATACTTTCTACTAGCCCTTCTTTGACAAAATAGCCTTTTCTATAGAAAAGAATCCTTTCAAGCATTCAAGATTTTTTTTTTTTTTTTTTTTTTTTTTTGGAAAGATGTCGGTTTTGTAGAATTGACAGATTTTATAGAAGGAAGAAGAATTTCTTAACAGGAATTATTTTGTATTACTTACGACATTCAACAAAATATGGACCTTGTTAATCATAAGACAAAGTGGATAGAGTGTCTTTTTCTCATCTTTGTGCAGGGGATTTTTACTTCTAAGTTAATCCTATCAATAATGTTCATGTCAGAAGTTTTTGTCAACAATTACATCAAGGATATATTTTAAAACGTCTTAATCCTAATTTATTAAAAAAATAAATAAAGCTCTTGTTTTTATCTCTATTTTTGTCAGTCGACAATACCTGGTCCAATAATATCACACTCCAAATATTTTGAAGTAGAAGTGAAAAACTATCACATTAATATAAAAAAAAAAATTACTACAATAAAAATTCTAAGATAAAATATAAAAGAGTTTCAAACTAAAATTTCACAAGCTTCAACAAAGTGTTTATGATTTATCAAAATATTGATAAAAATAATGAAAAATAATAAAAAAATCATTTATCATGGAGTCTCATTTAATATATGAACTTAATCTTCCAAGAAAACCATAAAATTCTCATGAAATTTAATTAAAAAATTAATTAAAAAAATGAAAAATAAAACTATATTTCAGTAGCTACATATTTTTATACTCAGTTTCCCTGGATTTGCATTTGAACAGAAAACATTTCCACCAAAACTCTATTGAGCTTTCATTCATTGCCTGCCGCTGCTGCTTCCGGACGTCATTACGAAGCTTCCCATTTCAGATATTTTCCTTTCACTGTCATTTGACCAACAGAATCCTCCACTGACGAACTAAAAAGGAAAACGAACGTAAAACGAACGAAAGACGAAAGCAAAACTTCGTCATCGAGAAGTCTCTCGAGCTTGAGCCGAAGCTATCTCTCCACGGTACATTGCAGAAGATTTCTTTGTATCGAGATGGAGCTCTCGCGCCATGCTCCATGGCAAGCAGGCAGGGAGGGAGGCGTATGAATTGTTGTTATAGACGGGACAGGCTGCTTCAATCTCCACATAGAATTCTTTTCATGCGAGACCATTAGAGCCCTGCTTTGGTTAGGGCACGGCATTCAATTATCGCTGTCGCCATTTCTCGGTCCCGCTGCTTCCTCGCATCCTGCTCCTTTCCTATGGCTTGCTTTCTCTATCCTAATCTTAATTCTGTACCGTTCGCAGTTGCAGCAGCTAGCGCTTTCCCGCGTTGTTCCTCTCGTGGACCTGTTTTTATAACCTCGCTCATCCCCGCTTCGCGCTCATTTTCACAGCCGAAGTGTGATTGTGTGCACGTTCGAGCGATTCAGGGCGAATTAAGTGAATTATGCGAGGTAGGTCGAAGCAAGAAGGTGAAGCCGTTTGCGTACAATCGTGCTAAACCGGAAGAGAGGTGGCCGCATAGGAGTGACGTATTGAATCGACAGCGGATTGCAAGAGAGTTGGAGAATGTAGGTCGGATACCACCTCGGCTTGTGCTAGACTGGGAGGAATTGTGCCGCTCGGATGCGAAAGTAGGAGAACATGAAGAGGGCGACCAATATGTGAGTAAAGAGGTACCGACGGCGATGGCTCGGCGACTTCAGAGGGAAGAGGGGATTAGGAAAAGAGAGGCGCGTCGTCAGCTGCAGAAGGCACAGGTCAGGAGGCTTCAAAGTATGTCCAAATTGGCTCTGAGGAAAGTGACGGATTGCAAGAACAGAGGAATTAGGTTGTCCACTGCGATTTGTAACTTGGAGTTAGCGAGGCCAATTACGGATGTGCTCGATGGCTGGCCAGAGCAGCTCAATAATGATGAAATGTCTGCTGTGTTGATGAACATAGGAGACCGAAATTGGAAACGGGCGCTAGAATTTTATGAGTGGCTGAATCTTCGAAAATTATACACTCCTAATCCACGCCTGCTTGCAACGATCATCCACATCTTAGGCAGGGCTAATCAACCGGAAGCTGCGCAGGATCTTTTCTCTAAAACTGAGTTGGAGTTGACATCCTGCATACAGGTGAGGTTATATGATAGCACAAATTGACTGTTGATGCGAAATTTTCAGAAAAAAGTAAAAGAGAACTGGATTGTAATGTTGACCAGGAAGGTTAAAGAACTTAGCAGCTGCAATCATTGTGAATGGTCCATTCGGTGTAAGGGTGATCTTTCATGGTTTCTCCGTCTATACTTCCATCCTATGATTTTTTTTCTCAGCGTTTATTCAGCAATCAATTTTCATTATCTGGTACATGCTATTGCTTTATTTGGTGCAGTCTCCGGATTTTCAAGCAAGATCTCCTTGATATCACTGTGGAAGCTCATCAAAGTGAATTTTTGCAGGTTTACAATGCAATTTTAGGAGTTCATGCCAAGCAGGGGCATTGGCAGGCAATGCAGCCTATTCTCGAGCGTATGGCGAGAGTAGGTTGTGAACCTGACATTATCACCTTCAATACAATTGCAAGCGCTCGATGCAGATATGGATTGCAGCCCGGCATGGCATCCGGTCTCTTGAAAGAGATTGAGAGTGCAGGTCTTAGACCAGATATAACAACCTACAACATTCTGTTAGGTGCATGTTTTTCAAAAAATTATATCACAGAAGCTAAAGAGATCGTCAAAGACATGGAGCAACATGGTTTCGATCAAAATTCTTGTACGAGCTACGTTTTAGAGAAAAACCATCTGACGTCAGATGGAGATGATCTGCACGTATCGAAACTGGTTGAAACCTCTCAGCAGCAGGCTCGTAGCAGCAACGGTGTGTGGAGTTCTTCAGTTGATATTGCGCAGCAGGCAAGAGCATCAATGCATAACTCAGGAGATTGGTGAAACTTCGTGAAATTCTCTCTGCAAATTCAACAGGGACCAGAGAATTTTTTTGATTATATCAAATCAAGAGAGCCAAGGAGTAAGCACTTCTGACTTCATTGTTGATACAGGCAAATCTATGAAATGTCAACTAGTTTGCAAGAGTGAACATTATTTTAAATGAAAAATCGAAGAAATAGTCAAAGATCTTGACTAGTCTCAGTTGAAACTGGGTTCCCCTACTTCAGGGGGCTTTTCTAAGGGACACTGGAGGAGTTCCAAAGAACTTTGCGGACTAATTGTAAACACCGTTACATTTTTATGTGGAGTGTAGCTTAGAAAGAAAGCGATCATATTACAATAAGATCGTTTCATATGCGAGTAATAAGTCTGAAATGGAATTCTAGTGTGCTGCGTAAGGAATGGATCTCATCGTACTGGAGGGGGATTGTTGACAGCTTTGGGCTGCTCTGGCTGACCGTTATCTCTCCCGTTTGTTTTCGAGATGATCATGTAACTTTCACCATCCAAGCCCCGGTTTTTAGTTATGATGATAAGGATTTCTGTGAAGGAGATTGCTATTCGTACTATCGGCTTTGTGGAGGATACAACCATACTTTTTTTTGTGAGCTGAATGCGAATGTGTTCACATGGCGCAACCCTTATTACCGTATTAGTTTTAGTTTTCAGATCATCTCAATGCCCCGCATGTGCAGTATTTGATGGTTCTAATTTGTTCTTGGTGATTGTTTGTATCAGACTTATAATGGAAAGGGATGCTCCAATAGTAGAGGTGGAAAGTTGATAAAGTAACCTGCAAACCACAGCAGCTGATGCTTAACAGGACATGCTCAATTTTCTGGTAGATATTCTTTGGGCATTTAAACTACGTGCAACTGCCAGTCTTACATACTCTCTTGCAGTATTTAACTTATTTCCAAGAAATTGTGTCAGGTACGCACAATCGTGAGCTTTCAGTTATCTACCAAAATGTTGATGTCTGTTCTGTACTATGTGGAGGCAGACTTTACGAATATTTTATGAAATTTCTGCGTCAATTGATATTTATGTCGATTAGCTGTACAAGTAGAAATGACTTGCGATTGACGGTACCTTCTTCAGATAGGCAGGGTGTAAGAACAACATTGGGAAGCTTATTTCGATTCATGTCACTAGGAACAGCTTTAGTTACTCTTAGTCGGTGGTTTGTTAAGATTAGATTATTTTTCATCCTGGCAGCCAGTGTTATTGCTATGCAAACAATCACCAAGAACAAATGACAACCATCCACTGCTGTACATTGATATTGGGAAACTTACGGCTTTATGAGACCATGCACGTTGTCTCGTGAGGACCGTCACATCATGCTGTAGGAAATCACGACTGCAAAGGGAAAGCACACATGAACAGTCTAGTTGTTTTGGAGGTTTCCGTTTCTTGCTTCGCATACGCAGGGCAGTTAAGAATCTTTGTTTTGCTCTTGTATTGCGATTAGGCGCCTGAGTCCATGTGGGACGCAACGTTTTGTTCTACCTATTCTTCACTGTCGTTGTGTGTGGATCCTCTATTTTTGAGGTTAGTAAGGGTACTTGGCGATGTGCTGTGGGTAGTCTCCAAACTCCTTGGTATGGTTTTTATTGATGTTGCCATTTTTGGTGTGTAGGTTGTGTGTTAGTTTTGCCGTTGTTTCTGGCCTTACACCATTGTTTGTTGTCAGGACTTTCCAACCTTTTAACATCTAACTACCTCTAAGTACTGAATAATTCCCAGGTGCTATGTGTAATGTGCAGGTTGGAGTTCCGACGTGGACAGATTGGCTCCAAATTTTTGGTTCTCTGTTACATCAAGTCTTTCCATTACCAGTTTGTGTAGTGTTAGTATCCGTGGAACTTCTTCCGAGGTAGCTGTAGTCACCTCATTATTTCCATCCCCGCCAACCCCAGAGTTGACGAGGGTCCCTAGTTTTGTTCCAACTCTTTGATAGTGTCTTCCTCTTGTGGCTGCAACTCCGCTACTTCTGCGGTTGTGTTGACCTTTCCTCACCAAACTGTTGCTGCTAGGTTTAACACTTACCGTTTGCTGGAAAGGTGCTAGTCTATTCAGCCCGGAGGAGTTAGGCTGAATGAAAAGCTCTGTAGTTTGATGTGATACAGCTAGCTTGCTCATCACAGACAAGTATGGCTGGATGACGGGCCCTATAGGGGGAAGAGACCTGATTAGGGCGAGGCCCTGATTCCCCTGCGGCCAGTTTGACCTTCCCTTGTTAGGTTTATGACGACCTCTTTTCAATACGATGGTGAAACATCATCATCCTTAATCTGGGCTTGTGCTTTAGAGACTTACTGGTACCCACCTCTCGAACATGGCCATTTGTTCGGACTGCGTGTTCCTGGGTATTAGGCGTTGGCCTCGAACAAAATCTTTTCTTCCAAGTGTTCACTTCTCACAAAGTTTTATTGCAGCCTACCTCTTGCAACCTTCCATATTGTGGTTTGTTTCTGGGGAAATAAAAAGATTGTTGTAAGATATATATATATATATATATATATATATTTTTTCAAATTTAATAGTAGAGTTTGTGATTTGTACGTCCAACTTTTAACCATCACTTGAGTTTAGGACTAAACAAAATTACAAATTGAGTTTTATTTTTTCTACTTTGATTTGTCCAATGTTGGTTATTGTGTGTGAATTAGGAAATTTATGTGGAAGGTTTTTTAAAATAATCTAAGTAGGGAATTGAATGGTTATAAAGTCACTTAATATGTGGGTTCTATGGTGACTTGATGTCAAAGTTGGAATACCATAATTTGAACATATATAGGTATATTATATAATATAGAGAGTATTTTTTGTTTAGATTCTTTTTTGCCTTTGTTCAAATAAAAATATTGTTTGCATATGTTATTGTGTAAAATTGCAGAATTTTGTATCTTTAGATTTAAGTTAAAGATTAATTAAGAGAATTGGTCAAATAAAGGATTTTTTTTCTACCAAGGAAGCAATATATACATAATTGTTTTTGTAAATTTTTCTTTTGTTTATATAATATTGCAACTAACTTCAATCTTATACAAAATAATTTACACTTAAAAATCCAAGTAGTTAGATAAGAAACTTCCTTGAAGAGACTTCCTAAACAACAATACTACAAATAGAATTTTCTAGTTTGGTATGTGTGCAAAATGGTTTCATAAACTCTTACTTATCTTGTTTCATTGATTTAATGTATTGTTAGAATGTAACTATCTTAAATAGAATCCCTAGCTTACTTTGTAAGCTAAATTAGTTGTTCATTGTCCTTGCTTCTAATTTAAATGTAATATATTTACTCACTCTATCTCTATAATAATATTCGTTTATAATAACAAGACAATCTACTATTTTAAGATAAGAAATGAATTAAGACATTTATATATAGATGGAAACAAGACAATAATAAAGATAATATTTCACCTATTTAAGATTTCAACAACTTGAAAAACTTAGGTAAATAAGAAAGATTTTAAGACTTATATTATTCAATATTATGTAACCTTCTACAATCGTAGAATTCAATACCACCAAAACCTTTTATCAACTACTTACAATCTTATATATATATATATATATATATTTATTGATGATATAAATTTTTTTGAGAAGACAAAAGCATTACTACAAATAAAATGGCAACAAACCAACAAGACTCCTAAAATCTTGGATAAATTCAAAGACAAAACTTTTGGCATAAAAAATTTTAATTTTATTTTAAACAATACTACACATACAAATATAATTAATTATAAAAAAAGAGAAAAATAAAATACAAATAAAAAACACCATATTTGCATAACCATTAAAGAAAGACATTAAAAATGTTTCTTAAAAATAAAATAAAATAAAATAAATGCCATAACTCATCTAAATTTTGATACAACAAACGTTTTTGAACATCTTAACATGAATAAACGTATATATGTCTCTCAACATGAATAAATGTTTTTGAACATCTCTTGTGAGTATTCACTAAGTCTGACAGCATATCTATAAAAGTTGTATAGTTGAATTCCCTCACTCCTGTATTACAATCAAATTTCTTACACCAGTTTTACGAAACGAACTTAATATCCAATTTCTCCAAGTAGAGGCAGAAGCTATTTCCATGAAGCTCTCAAGTCTATTGTCCTCCAATGAAAAGCCAAATATACCTGCAAATAGATGGCAGTTTCCGAATCTACAACCATCGCCCTTGCATATCGCTTTAGTACGCACACATATGCGACTATCTGTTGCACCTGGTTTAGAAAACCATTCAGTACCATTCATACACCGGAACCACCCCACTTTGGCACACGATTAGTACAAACGAATATGCTTTATGGATGGTCGATCTAAATTGCTCCTCAGTTTCAGGGTCTTGAAAGTCAGAAAGTTATCAGGACGATACGTATGAATGAACGTGGTGCAGTTCCTTCACACATCAATTATGTCAATCATCCACACGAAACACGGTGAGATTTTCTGCCTAAAAACGTCTAGATTTCTAAAACAAGGTCAATCGGCCTTCGTTCACACTGCTGTACAAGCAGTTGACATGGACACACTGGTGAGGCACAATTACAGGAGTTAAGTTGAAGGACGGCACACTATAAGATAGTCACCACCGCGACACGTTCATTCCCATAACTCAGAAAAGAATGTAGCTCGTCGAAACTTGAAAAAATAAAATAATTGCTTTCCGACCAACCGGATTCGAACCAGTGACCTAAGGATGCCTGTAACAACTACAGTCCTCCGCTCTACCAACTGAGCTATGGTCGGTATCTCGCGCTCGGAGGGCTACGACAGGCGAGGTGGCGAGTTTGTTCACAGTGGGATTCGAACCCACGCCCTTTCGGACCAGAACCTTAATCTGGCGCCTTAGACCAACTCGGCCATATGAACACGGTTGGCAAATATTGCCCAGTAGATTGATTTTTAAATAAATTTTACCCCCGCCCACCAACTTCAATCGACCGCACCCCTGGGACACCAAAGGGATTGCGCAGGACCATCTCATATCAACCGCAATGCTGTGTTACCATGCAAACAGGGCTATATCAACACTTTGCCTGCACAATCAGCATCACTCAACAAGGTCGTATTCTGCCATTCCTACCTCTACCAATTACGGGAGCACAATCTCTCAATCGGTTCATCTCGATCCGTCCTCCACCAACAACTCGCCTTACACTTCTGCTCTTTATGTTTCTGCTCACTTTCGCTCCCGGATCTTACTCACGTCACCTCACATTCGCTCCACCAAGCATATCACGATGTCAATTACCACCTTATCGGTCACACAACGGTACCCGAATCGTGTCTCATCATCCGCAATGCTTCACGGTCGAGAGATAAGACGAATGTCGTCCACCGAGCACCTACTCCAACCAGCCTCACGTGCGTTCAAACCCACATGGAAACCGCAACCAATGACCAGACAAATTATCATTGCGACGCCTCAACCTGGTTGTTGCATTTTAGCTCAAATCGACTTTACAATTCCGACCTCGCAACCGCATTACCATCGTGCTTGCAGCTAACAATTCATGCGTTGCCCAGCTCGGAAAGCAAGATAATGCACGCTAACCTTCTTGTACAACATCAGCTCCTCTACGGCTCACAGAAACTTAGAGACCTTTAGTCAGCGTTAAGAAATCTAGCTGCATTTAAATCTCAACATACACCTTCCATTGGTCCGATCCCAACCCTAGCACTAAAGTAAGCACAAGTCGTCAAAGCGCACACGCTTCCAAGGCCTCGCCTGTTAGACGACAGATGCGCCACTCCGGCATCACCTTCGCGCCAAGCCCCTCGTAGAACTTGATGGCGTTCACATTCCAATCGAGCACACACCATTCCACTCGCCCAGCCCTGAGCTTCTTCGCCTGCTGCACCACGCTCTTCAGCAAAATCGTCCCCAACCCTGTGCCCCGGTACGGTTTCCGCACATACAAATCCTCGATGTAATATCCGCCCTTGGCCAGAAACGTGGAGTAATTTGGAAAGAAGAGCACGAAGCCGACTGTTGTGTGAGTGCCAGTTGACGGCGACCTGAAGCCCTCCCTTGCAGAATCGTCGATAGGGTTCTTGAGCACGACAGACCTAACAATCGGCTCAAAGACCTCTCCCTCCGCATGCCAATCTTCCTTTACCTCTACAACGTTTTCTTCCTGTTGGCAAACCTCGAGCATGAGCACCGTAGGTCCTTGGAAGGGCGGCAACTTCCACAGCGACGAGTGAAGCTTCTCTTCCGTGACAACACACGCGTGAGAAAGCTCCTCAAAATCTGCAAGTTCTCGGATGAGTTTCGCAATAGACGGAGCATCTGCTGGGGTAGCCAATCTCACCGTGGCCGTTAGTGTCCCTTCCATCGCCATGGCTTGCTTCACGACGAGATAAAGAAATAATAATGATAAAAAAAAAAAAAAACTCTCAAAACACACTTCGAAATCCGGATCGGAACTATTGCAAAGCACAAGTTCTGGAGTCTCCGGGGAGGATGCTCCAGACACGATCGGACACGATCGACGCGTTCACACTGCGTGCCTCGTAGAATGGTGTCGCAAAAACCTCACAACTCAATTGAATGGCTCCGCCATCGTAGGCCATCGGATTTCAGATGATTCTCAGATGCAATCTCAACCGCTGATATTATTTTTGGTAACGGAGTGAGGGAAAGTAAGGGAACCACGGGGGCGGGCAGGTTGGAGGCTGGGCAATTTGGAGGCCAGGCAGTTTTGAAGAGTGGCAGGTTGGGAACTCAAAAGCCATTCCTCATTGGGCCCACACTGAGTCTTTTCATTATACATAATGGTAAATATCACATATGAAATATCATGAAATCAAATTAAATCCTTATATGAAGTGAAATGTTTTACATCCACACTCTTAAAAAAAATCTAAATTTTAAAGAATAATTCTATATATTGGTCAACATTGCATTCCTTCATAATATTCTTTGCAAGATTTGGCAAGCCCTTCCATTGTAAGCCACTACCTTTGGTTGCATAACACAAAAACTTTTTCAAAAGACGACCTACTCCAAGCCATTGGAGTCCCACAGCAATTTAATGTAATATTATAATAATAAAATTATATAAAATTTTAATTTATTTATAAATTAAATGAATTATGATTTACTTTATAAAGAAGGTTTTAAAATATCTATGTTTATATGTAATTATTTATATACATATTTAAATATATATGTTATTATATGTAATAATAACATTACATTTTTCTAATAATATTACATTACATTATTATATGTAATTATTTACATGTAAATAATTTATCAAAAAACATGATTTTGAATTAGTAATTTTTGTACATTATCCTAATGAATATAATATTCTTGTAAAGATATAAAGGTGTTTAAATGATCAATCCTTGTTTATAAAATATCTATGTTTGAGAAGAATATTTTTATGAGTTTCAAGAATTCTTTATGAGAACAAAAGTACCATGTATATTGAGTGTTGTTATGTACAACAACAAAAAACAAATTGTTTGAAGTAAGAATGATAGTTGAAAAGAGGGATTGAGACGTAGCACAAATTTCAGCACCTATGTATGTGAATGTGGATCAATGTGGGCCTAATGAAGAATGGCTTTTGAGTTCCCAACTTGCCATTATCACATCACATGTATTCTTGCTTGAGAATGCACTTGGAGTCTAGTTGTAGAAGGTAAGTAGAAGTGCAACAACAAAATCCTACCAAGTCTAATAAAGTCTCAAATAAACCTTATATAATCCTTAACAACCCCAATCAAACTTTAACCAATTTAAAACAAATTTAAAAGAAGTTACAAAAGAAATATAAAGAAGTAATAATAAAAACTTAAAGTTTAAAGTAAGAACTTTTAAAGTTTTTATTATTACTTTTTTTTGAAATTAATCTTAAATCAAATCATAATAAAATATTAATTAAATCCTAGATCAAATCCTAATTAAAACTTAATTAAATCTTAATCAAATCTTTAAAAAAATCCTAATATATACCTAAATAAATCTTAAATCCTAAAAAAATCTTGAATCAAAACCTAAATAAATCTTGATTGTATTCTAAATCCTAAAGAAATTATAATCAAACCTTAAATCTTAAATAAATTCTTAATAAATCCTATAACAAATTGAAATTTTAATAACTAATGATTTAATCATTAATTTTGATTAAATTTTTTTACACTTTTTAATAATTAAGTTGGCAACAAGTACAAAAAATTTTGAAGAAGAATATACAAAATAGAAGATAATTCCTAAAATTTGCTTGGATGTTAGCTGGCATTCTTATTCAATCTTGATACTAATGTTCTAAAGCTAAAATCTCTTAATTCCATTGTTCAATAGGTTTCAAACTTTGCATGATTGTTGGAAGTTAAGTTTACCACTTGTGTAATTTTTTTTTTTATATTTCAATCTAATATGCAAATTGAAGAATATCTTAGTAACCTTCATTGGTCCTTTAAACCCCAATTTTTAAGATCTCAATATGTTTGAGCTTCAATAAACTTTGAAAAAATAATTAGATCAAATTCAAACTTGCAATACAAATAACACACAATAATTATTATTAAATCACAAAATTTCATCTATAAATCATCTATACATTTTACACAATTGTCCAAAGCGCAAATTCTTTGAATTTTTTAAAATCCGAAGTTACTCAAAAACAATCTTATCTTTGCAAAGCTTTTATAAAGGTGTTATGTACTCAAATTACTTGAAACTAATGCTCATAAAACCTTTTTCTTGTTTTCTTTCAAACCTTACTCTTTGATCAACTAAAGAACCTTAGAGTTGCCGTAGGTGTACAATTTTAAACCTCAAGGTCTGATTTTGACCTTAGTTCACAACTGGTCCTCTCTAAGTATCAATTCTTCATATTTTTAGATATTTTTTACTAAAATCTATTTTTATTTTATTTTTCTAAATATGCCTATATTAATTACTTATCTTATTTATTTTTATTTGGTTCATTTATGGTTCTACAAAGTAGATAGAATCTCTTCTATAAAAAGATTATATTAAGAGTAAAGTTTTTACTATCTTCCTATTTTTTATCTTTATTTTTTTATTATATCTTTCTATAAGGCTCTTCTATAATAATATCTATATTTTTATTTTTCACCATATAGTTGTATTACTACACAACAGTGTTCTTCAAATTGCTCAACCTTCAACTTGTCCACCTCTTTGGTTTTCCAATATTTCCTTCCTTCACTCCTAGAAATCCAATCGGTGGTTGAGATTGCATCTAAACAACAACTTTGATCCAATGGCCTATAATGGCAAAGCCAATCGATTGAGTAGTGAGGTTTTTGTGATACAATTTAACAAGGCATTGCATATGTGTGAAACATAAAGAAGTTCAAAATAGTCCTTGAAGGCCTAAGAGATTTAGGATTTAGAGAGCTTTATCCATATGTGTTTAATAGTTTCTTTCAAATATAATTAAAAAAGTACCATATTAGATTTTTTTAATTTTTTTTTTATAAATCACTTTGTAAATCTTATTGTTTATATTGTTTAAATTTTAAAATATATTATTGATTTAAATTTCTTGAATTTATCAACTTTATTGTGATACTATTTTAAAATATTATAAAATCTTTTATGTTAGATAAAAAATCACAAAATGACATCAAATTTTTAATTTTTTTTAAAAAATTAATAAATTTTAGTATTAAAATATTATTTTTAAAATTAAAGATAAGCATGCATATATATATATATTTATATATATATATATATATATATATATATATATATATATGTTAATAAAAAAATTACAATAGCATAATTGGTTTATAATATTATATAAAATTTGAATTTATCTAACATAATTGGTTTGTAGTATAAAACAAATTATATTAGATAATTAACAATATTTGAATTTACCTAATATAAAATTTTAAATAAATTATATTTTTAAATAAATTATATTTTTAAATAAATTATATTTTTGAATTTTATAATAATATATTTGACACATTATATTTGATAGATTATTATGAAGTTGAAGGTTTTTATATCTAAATATTATTTATATTTCTTTAGTCTTTTTGTAATAATTAAAAATTAAAACCTTATGTAGTATCCAACAGATATTAATATATGTACCAATATAAATTATTATTTCTTACTTTTGCAATTAAATTATGAATCTTTTAGATTTTGAAATTGATCCTTTAATATACCAATATAATATTTTATTTTTAGTTAAATGGATATAAGTAAAGTATTGAAATTAGTATCATATAGGTATGTTGTTTAAATTTGCTTATATAACTTAATCAAAACTATTACAAGAAAAATTCATTGTTTGCAAGTAGAAGTTTTTTATCTTGAATTATTTTTGTGAATTATTCAATAACTTAAAATTAAAAAAACCTGCAATTTTTGTTTGTAGATCTAAGAAATCCCAGATTTACATCTCTTATTTGATTAAATTTTATATTATATAATGAATTTTTTTAAACCTTAATTAATTTTTTGATTATATTTTTTGACCATGTTATATTGGTTTATACACCAAGACAATATATGTGACACCTATTATACTCACAAAAATATACTAATTTATTTTATATTTATTACAATAATGTAATATTTTCTTTTAAAATAATTATTTAATAATTATATATATATATTATTTTTATTTTTATTTTTATTTTTTTTGCTATTCTTATTTTTTTATTTTCTTTTATCAATCAAATAATGAAAATCCTTTTCATAAGTAATACCTATTATAGACATATGTGTTTATTTCAATAATTACATAGATAATATAAATAAATAGAAATATATAAAAGTAAATTAATTTGATAATATCTTATAAAAAAACTTCTTAGAAGTTTTATAGACTCAATTTCACCTTTATATATGTCTGAAGGTGATTGGTAGGTTGAACACTTGGCCAATAAGTTAACCACATATTGTACATATTGGAGGTTGTGATACAAGCTAACTATGTAGTGGTTGTATGAAAAACTTACCTTGCAAGTTAAGACACGTCTCTTGTAAATTGGACATGTATTGAAGGTTCAATAGAATGTTGTCATGTTGCTCTTAATTAAATAGTATATATAGAGGTAAAAGTGAAGCCTTATTCACTCTTGTCAAGTCCTTTCTTGCTTCTAGTTTAGCTTCAAGGATCACTAATTACTTATCTTTTTGAATATACATTCTTTTTTATTTCAATCTTGTTATCTTTCTTTGAAAAAAGTCTTACTTATTTATTTGCTATTATCAAGTTCTTGTTCTTAATAAATTGACAAGAATACTCATATAATATTATAGCTTCGTCTTTTTTTGATTAAAAGTAGATTATCTTTTATCTTTATAAGATATAAGTATATTAGATGTAAAAAATTTCCTTGTTTTAAGTTGGTATTGTTTTTAATATTTTCTTTATTCTCAATTCCTATCTTTTATTTGTCTTGAGCAATATAAGATTTATTTATTTATTTATTTATTTCTAGTATTATCATGAAAAAACTTGTTAAAATAAAGAGTAAAATGTCACAAA